CTCTGTAGATCATGACATGAGTAAAAGTTGGCATAACTTGATATAAGATTCCCATTATGAACCATATGACTCTATGATTTGCTGGATCATGGACCAATGAATGGGTAGCAAAGACCCTGCAGCCTTGCTGGCACAGGTTACTAATGGGGAGAGCATAACTCTCAAACAAAAGGAACAGCACTCTTGATCTGGGACTGTACTTACTTCAAGTATACTTACTTCAAGACAGGTATACCCTTCCCTCCCTTTCTTACTTCACTTCTAGCATGGGTCTGTGACAAATCTCTCTCTCTCTCTCTCTCTCTCTCTCTCTCTCAACTTTTGAAATAGGCATCATTTTACTCTTTAGATCAAGGTGTGGATGCTGTGTGATTTGCTACCCATGGATATTGTAACTTGGCTATCTGAAGGCGCACCCATATATTGAGTCACTTTCATTTCATGTAATAAACCAATCTTTCTTTATTCCTCTTGTGCAAGAACTTCTTGGGGCATAAAATTAAGAGTAAACACACATTCATATCAAGCACAAGTTTTAATCTCCAACAAAAGGTCCTAAACCTCTTGGGTTGGTGTGTTCAAAACACATGAGTACTGGGCATGCATTGTGGATTCAGACACATTCCTTATATCAGCCTGAAGTACCTTCTACGCTTTCCTGAGTATTTAAGTTTTCGTGTCTCTTGCTATGTCAGTGCGTTTTTAAAATTACAAAGTGCTTCTCAGAACAAATGGGATCTTTGCACGTTTGAGTAGAGCTTTGTTAAAAATGGCAGCGACATATAAAGTTCCATCAAAAATAAAAGAATGCCCCCAAAAGTTCCCCCTTTTGCCTTTCTCACATAATAGTCATCATACTCCTCTGTACTTCATAAATCTCTCCTATGCCCTCCTGATACGAAACAAATTCCTACAGTGAGAAAGCACTCAGCAGAGAGAAGCCAACACAAACTGCAATCAGCCCTTGAAACAAAAAATAGTTTCGCCGAAAAACAAAGCAGCTTTTCATGTTTCAGAACCAAACCAAATGGGTGCCATAATTCTTCTGCCTTTGTCATGATTCATCTCTAGCTATATTTTCCACTGTGTTGCCCAGCTAGCTTTTAAAAAACTATACAATTTCTGTAACAAGATATACTGAAAATATCCTCCCCTCCCACCCCCAAGAATAACTCTGTTGTGATGGAAAGGAATGAAAGGAAATATGATTCACTAGCTTTTGGGAAACTGGCTTGTGCTGAATGAAGAACACAAACCTATTGTTCTTTACAGATGAGTTGTGTCTTTCAACTGGAGAACATGGATTCAAGATTTTCACTTGCCAAGTGACTTTGGGGATGTAACCTTGCTTTGTCTCTCCCCCTCTATGATTATATCATTTATTTTATTGAGTGAGACCATAGGTCCATGAAGGTCCAATGGATTAAGCATAAAGGTTCATGTCTCAGCCCTGGATCTTCAGCTCCTTTAACATGATAGTTTGGGAAGGGATCATGGGACCTTCTGTATGCAAAGTATGTTCTCTACCAATGGAGCGCTAAGCGTGTGTTGTGTGCACTTCAAACCATTGAACTAGAATGGGGCTCTCTTTGATCAATTCATCCAGCAGAGGTAGTGACAGCAGTATTGCTAGTTGATGGGAAATTCTAATTTTGCATAATTGCAGAGAAAGTATCAATGGGAATCAAATGGACTTGATATCCGTTGTGTTTGCCTAATCCTTATGGAAACCATCAGCTTAGATGAGAGATGGAGAACCTGTGGCTCTGCAGATGCTGTTGAGTCCAGTGGTCAGTGATATGGGAGTTGTAGTTCAACAGCATCTTGGGAAGTCACAGGTTCCCCATTCTTAGTTTTGATGAAAGATAGGTCAGTCTTTTTTCTTTCAGTGCTTTTAACCAAAAATGCTAAGGAGAACCTATGTGGTCAGAGACAGTGTGCATCTGAATACCAGCTACTGGGGGCAAACATTGTGGGAGGAATATTTCCAGCTACCCCACCCACTGCCCTTGGAAGTCTTGCAAGTTGCTGCAGGAAAGAGACTGCAAGCAGCATCATGGAAGGGGTGTTTCTAGGACCAAATTGAAACTGTAACACTCCCTTGTTATTTTTGTTATTGGATGCTGTAATCATGTTATATTTATAGTTCTGAAATGTTGCTTTCTGTATGCTATTATATTTGCTATTGTGTTGTTTTGTTATGTTATCAGGGAATTCTTTATGCACTGTTTGGTTTTGAAATGTATTGTTTTATATGTTGTCAGCTGCTTTGAGCATCATTTTCTTTTGGTGGAAAAGCGGCATACCAATAAAATGAATGAATAATGAACACAGGAGAAAGTGATTGTTTTCATGCCTTGCTTGTCAGCTTCTGGTGGTAGCCAGCTGGTGGCTTTTGGAAACAGGTTGGTAAGACCAGATGGACCTTGATCTGATCCAGCAGGTCATTTCTTCTGCTCATCATCATTTAACCTAGATGTACCCTTTTGTGTACTGATGTATCTGAATTAGATTTTACAGGGTTGCTGTCATTTTCAGCATTTGAATCATATGCTGGAATCTTATTCTTGACCTTTCAAAGTATAATTAGATTTTTTTATGCATCACTCCTAAACTCAGTTGTGTATACTTAAGGCAGTGGATATCAATAAACTGGCACAACTGAGCACTGCAGTCTCAACAGGAGGTGTTAAACTCCTACAGAAACTCATTCTCCCCCCACCCCCTCAATTCATTTCTGTCTATGGAGGACTGCTGGAATGGACTGCTGCTGCAGTACAATCATTTATGATTTGTCCTCAAAATATAAATATGGGATTTTGGTCGATTAAGTAACTTAAATGATCATCAAAGGTGTGCATAGCTTTTAGGGACAGAAAAATCTATCAATTTTTGTTTCTATCTTCCTGTCTTAAGTTCAGTTCTTCACATTTCTGGATCAGTCTGTGATTTTTTTAAGTCATCATGAAAATTCATTAGCATGGTATTGAACATTTCTCCTAATATATGCCATTTTGTATGCATTTTTGCCTGACACAAAGGTTTTTTTTTCAAGCAATTTCCTCCAACAATGCATTTTACAAGTTATTTTTACTAATATGTACATTTTATGCATGCTTTCCCCTAATATACTTATTTTGGTGCACATTATTTGGCTGGAGAACTGCATCAAAGCACTCAGAGAGCAGCAAATTTTGAAGTTAGTTATTTTGGTCTGCATAATGTTTCAGAAAGTGAAAATTAGGTTCGCAATAAAGTCCAAACCTCATTGAATTTCCCTCCCATCCTTAATAGCTACTTAACTTTGCACTGATTCCTCTACTAGCATCTGCCACTGAAGCTACTTTTCTTATTGTCTAAAAGTTTTGGAAATTATATGCATATTCACATATGAAATAAGCAGAAGGTAAAAATGTCTGACTAGGCCCTTCAGCTGCCTGGTTCCCTTGTTGTTTAATCAGCAGGAGGTGAATTAAAATGGCTGCATTTCAGAGTCTCATAAGCCTCAAAGGCAATGAACCTCTCTTAGTTTTAAGAAACATTACAGTGCATGAAGGTGAAGCGACCTGCTGTGTTTTGGCTCAGAACAGGCAAAGGGTATAAAGCAAGTCTCTTTTGCCATTGTGTTCTCTGATGTTGAAGCAGCAGGAAGAAGTACTGTTGGACTGGCTGGGCTGACATAAAAATACATGGGGTGCCTATAATGCACAGAGAACTTGCAGTGTCTGGAGAATAGAGCTCGAACCTATTCATCAAGTAGATTTGCCACCAGCCACCAGGGCAACACACTTGAATGCTTAGCAGCTAGCATCTGACAATTTGCTTCCTAATATCCCTTAAAATTTGAATATCAGTTGTAGCTAATTTCATGTTATGCAAAGGCCTGCTCAGTCTGGCATGAATAACCAGGGAAAGGCAGGGTGGATGTGTGTGTGGGGGGGGGAACGTGGATAAAAAGCCAAGCACAATATATTCTTTGTGTATTCAATGTGGATGAAATATTTTATGAAGTTTGGTTCTCCTACACATGGCAACTGTTCCAGGCACACCAAACTGCATGATTATTAAAAGAAAAATAAATTCCAAACTCATTTGTTTTGAAATTATGTGTGTTACTTCTTTAGAATAGATAACCCATGCAAAAGTATTGACATAGGCTTTGTGTGCTCCTTTGACTTCTCAATGCCCCACATCACACATCTAGCTAGCCAATAATCACAGGCGGCTTTCATGTAGCTGGTGTTTAAATTTAACTTTCAAATAAATGACCCTTCCTTGTGAAATCTGGAGTTCTTGCAGTGTGAGAGGGCTGTGCTACATTGGTGTCGAGAGGTCTAAATTGCTTCTAGGCTGGTTGCAGTTATAAGCTATGAAGCAATTATTCAAACTGTCCTTTGAATCCACCAGAGCTAATGTATATAATACAAGTTTTCATTAATATATCAGTAATTTGAACAGAAACTGTTACATGAAAAGAAGGGCAATTTTGGAATTTGTACTAAGATCTTGAGTTTGATTTCTTCTACTGAGGCAGTAGAGGTGATGAGATATCTTCATCCTCAGCACATTGTTGGTACTAAACAAACATTTAATAGAAACTCTAAAATCAGAATGAGTGCATTGGTGCTAATAAGATTTTTATTAGCTTGCTCATTGGAGCTGACTTGCTCGAGCTCTAATTAATCATGGTGCAGGGAATTGGAAAGGAACTTACTACAGGCTAGAATAGCTTTACTTGTTGGGATGAGATCGAGCCACTGAGAACTCCCTCTCCAGAGGCGGATTTAGGGCAGTGCAACCAGTTCTGCCTCACTGGGCACTGAGTCTAGGGGACACTGCAGGGCATCACAACCATGATGTGTAGTGAATTGAGCAGAATGGAAGGTAGGAGGTAGGTGGCATGTTGAATTTCAGCCACTAAACATACAAAAGGACATGGAGATAGGTGACTCCAAATTCAATTTTATGCTCAAATGAATGTCAAAGGAATATATATATATAAGACAGGTCTCCCACACACACACCATATATATATATATATATATATATATATGGTGCGTGGGGGAGAGACCTATCTTGGTCTAATTTATACATAGGTTTCTTTTGGTAGTGATAATGACAACATATATTGTCAAGAACACATTATTATCGCACAGGGTTTTGACCGCAGGGATTTGACCTGGAAATGCAATTTGCTTTCCGCAGAGTTTTTACTCAGGCTTGCAAAAGTAAGAAGAGGCTTAAGTATATCATTACATGGAAATTATTCAGCATAGTGTGACTTGTTGTTTCCAAGCCAAAGGCACATTGTCCTGTGATAATGTGAAAGTCAATAGATTTCATTTTTACAAAAGCAGCTTTGTTCCTTTTTCGTTTTTCTTTTTTGCGATTGAGATTTTAGAGTAGTTCAACTCCCTCTCTTTTGACCTGCCTGCACTCTCAGGAAGGCAATGTTGCCCTGGTTGTACTCAGGCTGCAGCATCAAGACAGAAATATCTGAGTGAAGATTACTTCACATGACTATGTTGTCAGTAGTGACACAGAATTCATCTAGTGAACTGCGTAAAGGCTAGGACTGAAGGAGCCATGAGGCTGGCCCAGTGGGGATGGCTGACTAGCAATCTTGTGCAAATTCTCAGTTATTCACCCACGGAGTTCATCTGCACTTCCCGCAGCAAATATAGATAGATGACCTAGAGAAAATCCACTTGAACGTGCTTGTCTCTAGACTGGCATAACAGCAGAAGGCAGAGCAACAGGCTGTCCTGCCTATTTGCAGTACAATAAATCAGAGTTACATTTAGGTAACTAGATGACTGCAGAGTGTGCTGGAATTTGGTCTCCTGATATTCTGAGGTAAAAAAATGGAGCCCCATTTTAAAACTTTCTTCTTCCTCAAAGTATTTATATATCAATCTCATCTACCCAATTTTCAAGAATAAGTCAGTAAAATAAATATTAGGAGTTCAAATTGCAAAAAATTGCATCAAATCATTTGACACCTTAGGGTGAAGAATGGGGAATGAATGAATGAATGAATGAATGCGTCAGATCCATAAGTGAGGATTCAGGCCAGTTAACTAACTTTATGTGGAATGGATGTGCGTGTGTGCCATTTTCTCATTTGCCTCATAGAGCAAAGTGCCTTGGGACAGTCACGCTGTTTGGGCACCTTACACGTGATTGTTACCTGGTAAAGGCACAGAAGTACATTGCAGTCATGCCAAGCAAAGTGTGTAAAGTGGAGGTGGGCTCTGCCACTGCAATGCCACCCCTCTGCCCTAAGAGCCATTGACTGATTGCGCAGAGGCATCCTGACTTACTGAAAGTAAGTAACCAGGGCATGGAAACACAAAAGATGGAGTAGATTAGCCTAAAGATTAAAACCTTTTGCAAATTATCAAAAGCTGCAGAAATGGTTACATTAAAAGGAAACAGAATTCAATGTGCAGAGCCCGTTGCTGGGCTCCACACATCTCCTAAACACATATACCCGCAGCATGCGGAAGCTCTGAATGTGCGATCTGCCATTTATTTTTGAGAACAGATAGTACACATAGTGAGACTGTGCTCTATATATAAAAAGGTAAAGGACCCCTGACTGTTAAGTCCAGTTGTGAATGACTCTGCGGTTGCGGTGCTCCTCTTGCTTTACTGGCCCAGGGAGCCGACGTTTGTCTGCAGTTTTTCGGGGTCATGTGGCCAGCATGACTAAGCCACTTCTGGCGAAACCAGAGCAGTGCACATAAACGCTGTTTACCTTCCCACCGGAGCGGCACCTACCGGTATTCATCTGCTTTCACTTTGACATGCTTTTGAACTGCTAGGTTGGCAGGAGCTGGGACTGAGCAACGGGAGCTCACCTGGTTGCGGGGATTTGAACTGCCGACCTTCCGATCGGCAAGCCCTAGGCTCAGTGGTTTAGACTATATATACCCATGTGCAAAAACTCTAATCAGCGAGTGGAGAAGGCAAGCAGGCATGGTTCTAGTGTACCCCTGCATTCATTTCTATACCATTTGGACATTTTCATTGGGCTTAAGTTGGCTCTGCATGGGTGCATTGAGCCCACATTTTTAAAAGGTCACTTGGGTTGCATAAAATTGGTCTGAACTTTGCCTTAGTTGTCAACTCAGCCTTAACATTTGTACACAGAATGCCTACCCTTATACAATTCAATATCCCCTTAGCAATTCCAGCATATCAATTGGTTCACCATCCTGATCAATGGGGGCCTGTTAGTTGTCAAAAAAATAAAGATGCCCACCAACTTTCCTAGAACACTCACTGTGCTCCTACAGCCAGTTGAAAGCAGTAGCCTCTAAGGAATGTTTTACACTACCATACCAATAAGCTCTGTAAAACTGCCACTTTAACATAATCATATTAAAATTGAATTATTTTGTCACCTTTCTTTCACTCCATGCATTCATATTGAAGATTCATTTGAAAATATGTGCTTTTATCCCATGCTAGTCTTACTTAAAACCACTGAAATTAATGAACATGGCTAATTTAGGTCCATTAATTTCAGTGGGTGTACTTGGAGTAGAACTTTGTTGGAGCCCACACACAGGTAATACACACAAGACCAAGTTCGTGGCTACAGAATTTCTTCCTCTTCCTGTCTCAATTTATTAAAGACAATATGGGAAATTTCTCCAAAATGTTCTTCACAGCAAAGCCAGCAATTTTCTATACTAGATTTGGCAGCTAGGCTCTGTTCATATCCCCAACTGGAATATGGTTTGCCCCTTCTTTTGCCCACTTCATTATATAAAAAAAGAACTTATTCTGTTCACCAGCTTTTTCCACCCTCTTTCTGTGTAGCCCAAGGAGTATTGACACTGTTGCTGGGATGCTTCTCTGTGATGGACACATTGCAACAGAAACAATGATTTAAGCAACCCGAATTGCAGTTGGGAAGCTGAGATCGTTACTATAATGTGGCAGGCGGCAACAGCTGGAGACAGCATGATGTGCTGTTACTTTCTTGATTCATAAAAAAAATGTCACTCACAGGATAAGTATAGGTGCGAAGATTTTTGTCACTTTTTGCCCATTCTGTGGGATGTGGAAGGTACATTTGCAGATTAAAAGGAAGCAGCCTTAGGTAATCTGTGCTTAAAGAGAAATTTCCTGGTAGCCAAAGGCCCCTTGGCTTGTAATCACTTCAGGCGAACAGACATGGCCAAGCTGGGTGGTTCCTTAGCGGAAATTAAACAGGGAAAGGGGGTTGTAAATAACACCACCAGCCATGTTTTTCTCCATACAATTCTTCCTGAGAGTGAATGAACGTCATCAAACCCCATCAGTCCCAGAGAGACTTTTCTCAATTACACTCCCAGCATGTGAGGTGAAAGAAGCCTCACACTGTAGTTTCTTCATGTTGTGATCAACTGGATTATCTAGTTTGAAAGGACAGAAATCCTTTTTAGAATAACAGAGGCAATGCAGTAGCCCTTGGAACACCTCATAAGTACTTTTTTTTTTTAATGTAGCCACTTTGTTTTTTAAAAGGGTTTTCCATTAAAATCTCTACAGAAATGGGGCAGGGTGGACTTTGTCCCATCTCCCATGCAGAACTGGGATGGACCAGGCTTTAATAGGTGCTTCCATACTTGATTCCAACATATACAGTTTCCCCAGGAGGATACCGTGGATAATGGTATTGAAACGCCCTGGGACATCGAATCAACAGGGACACACTCCCCCATCTTGCTCATGCTATCAGTAATCATGCAGGGTGGTCAGCTGGTATCCGTGTCAAGGGTGGGCCTGGACTTCAGCTGAAATATAGCTCATCCAAGAGTGCCTGAAGGTGAGAGCATCTCAGCTGTGCAATGTTACAGTTAGTATAAGCTTTCTTCCTCCTGAAATTAGAAGTCTTCCTCCCCATCACAAAAAGATACAAGAGGGTGCTGCTAAGTCTTGGTGTTCAGTATTTCAGCATTGGTTAGTTAACAAAAGGAAAAAAAAGATGGATGCAGAGACCATATGGAATAAATAAATGCTAATTTAGCTGAAAACAGCACAAAAAGTGTGAGACAAGTGATGCCTATCACAAAATATACAGGAGGTCACCGCTAAGTCTTGGTGCTCAGTATTTCAGCTGGAGCAAGTGCAGTAAATGATGCAGATGATAATTACTTTCTTTTTATTGCATAGTAAATAGCTGTGTACAGTCTCTCATAAATAGCTAGAGTGCTGCCCTGAAGCACATAAATCTTAAGGAGCATTTTCCCTGCCCCACTAATAATCCTTGTAACATGCAAGGCAGGCATCTTTCTCCAGCTGCCTTTTGCCCTCATAACCCACTGGAGTTTGCTACCAGGCTCTGGAGGAAACAAGCTTGCAGAAAATCAAGAGCTACCTAATTGGTGCATCTAATCCACGCCATGGAAGATTTTGTGCTGCTGTTTGTCTGATAGGCTTTAGTACTCTGTGTTCAGCAGGGTGGGTAGTGGGCAGGGCACTACACTGAACACATCCCAGTGAGGAATCCTTATCATGCTCCTATCCTATAAAAGTAAGGTCAACCTCATCATGTACCACAGTCATCTGCTTGGCCTTCGCAGTATAGAGCTTTGGAAGAAGGCCTTGATTATCAGTGGGGTTAATCTACACGGACTATGTCAAAGGATTCATTCATACTGAGTTGGCCAGTGACCAAAGTATCTGTCATTTGGGGTAGACTCTTGGATTTGCTGAGTTTACTGCAAACATATTGGTATCTGTAAGAAATGGAACTGTCTCCCTGGCACCCCCCAAACTGTTCCACTGAAATGGAGAGAATAAACAGCATGAAATAAAGTCTAGCATTTCTGGCTCTCTTTCTGATGAGAACCACACAGGTGCACACAAAATGGCAGAGAATGGAATTAACCAAAGCATTGTTACATGCCATTCCAATCTGCAAACAGTGCGAGATTCCAGGAGTACCGGGCACACTTACCAGGGGCTTTTGGAACCATGGAACCTTTTTGGAACCATGAGGCACAACGGAGTCTGTGGTGTTTTTATTATATAGGGTTTATTTACGCATATATACAACCTGAATCTAGATTGAGAGAATGCA